ATACAAATAACACAATATTCAAAAAAGGCAAAATCCCGAAACTGTAAAAGCTGATAAGACAAAATTCAGACAAGGAGCCTAAGCCTCTTCCCTACGAAATCCTCGGCAAACATTTGTATCACCAGGACGAAAGGGTCTGGCTACAGCTGGGTATTCTCGTCGATGGCAAACAAATTCTGACGGTAAACCACCGGAAATTTCTCGGAGCCAGCTCTCTTTCTCGGCACACACAACCACAATTGCCAACAAAGTACAGAGTTGCAGCAAACTCCAGAATTTCTCAATTCGGCAGTCCTTGGAACAAAGACAAAGAAATGGTGTTGCCAAGGTACAAGGCAATTGGGCGTCCAGTTCTAAGGTCGCCGAGGATGATTAGGACGCAGTGGACGAAGCTATAGTCATGCCACAACACAGAACTTTGGACATATATGGAATGCCTTCTGATGTCACCAAAATATCACGTCCACAGTTAAGCCTAAAGTCTCCCGGTAAGAGGTGCAATATCATGCTCAGCAAGCAGTTCCTGGTCCTACTAGCACCCTGTCCTTTAGACGTCAGTACCCGAACAGACACTTGCTTGAGTTGAAATACGACGTCCAGCAGTATGTGCAGCACCACTGGAGCTACGACTGTACAGGCAGGCTATTAATGGCATTTAGAGATAGGCTGTTATCAACTACATATACTCCAGTTGCCTGAATGCCGTCATCAGTTCGACTACCAACTTTTTGGCCGTGGCTTCAAATCCTGTGGAACGGACGTTATTTGTTTTTTATCTTTCTTCTTCATTTTTAATATTTCCTTGGTAGAAAAAGGTAATGCGCCCATTTTCTCACTGAGTATTTATAGTTTCGTAAAGCGATAGTGTAGAGTGTAGATAAATTCTTGCATCTTTCCGTGTAAAGTTTATAGGGGCTACCCTTACTTTATGCATTCCCAAACCTTACCTTTTCCCACTGGGAATCTTTGCTTTCTTGTCCCACTGGGTTACTTCTTAATTATATGTTGTGATGTATTCTTGAATTTATTGAAAAGCTTCTCTTCTTACTTTTTTGTGATGTCTGCTTGAATTTATTTTAAGGTCATCAATAAAATATTGTCGGTAAGGCGACCACCGTGGCCGAATATATAGAGCTGTAAACTGCCATTCAGTAGGTTACAGGATCGAAGACAGGTTGGAAGGTCAAATCTAGCACGTTAGGTAAAAAGTGTAGCTAAAAAGCAGGGTGCGGAAAATTTTCTTCGCATTGAAAGAAATGGACAGAATGAGAAATATACAGACAGTATAATATTAATTGCAAGATTTCAAACAACTAAAAAGTAGAAAATAAAATTATAGTTAAAAAACTAAAAACACGCTTCTAACGGGTGATTTTTTTGAGGTTAGGATTTTCATGCTTTTTTTTTTTGGTCGGGATATTGTAACGTCTGTATTATGTCCCGTCTGGATTGATAGTTAGCTGGATTATGTCTTGCCAGGATCTTTAAAGATTAAGTAGATATCTCAAAACAAACCAAGATCACTTCCAAGTTACTTGTAAACCTATTTTAAAGCTCATTCTGAGTAGGTTCGGATGATCTGGGTTCAATAATTTCACAGTTATTTCAATTGAAAATTTACTTTATTGAATAAAAAAGCTTTGGAGGGATGGTGGTACATTTTAACACAAAAACAAGTTATTAATTTTTCGCAATGCTTTCCATCTCTTTTTGTTTTCGGACACTCCTCAGTTAATAAATTCGATTTTGTGTTTTGGCAAAATGCTCGGGCAAAATCGTGCCAATTTCAAACCGTATTCCAAATTGTAATAGATCACCTCTAAAATTAAGACACCAACGCTTAGCAACATTACTGAGCCCAGCAAGATTATTGCCGGCAAAAAGTGTTGCAAATCTACTTCCACTTCACTATTCTGACTCAAACTGCAGTCCATTTTTGGTATTTGCCATCGATTATCGTTTTGCTGCATTAGACCAGTGGTGCGCAATTTTAAAATACCAGTCATCAAGTATTCACGAAATGGCGAACTTTTAGCTACACCGATGCCAAGATGTAAAGGTGGATTGAAGGATACCTCCTGCAAGTCACAGAATTCCCTTTCAGTTAGAATGCCTGCAAGTAATTATTTTTGCAATATTTTTTTCTTCCAATAAAATATGCAACTTCCCAAAGTTATACTCACTCCTTAGTATTACATACATTCGGTTAGCAGATACGTGAAATGCGAAACCACCGTCTTTTATACGTTGAGCACCTTCATCAATCGTCAGAACATGCCGCTCGCGGTTCTTGCAAATACGCTGTGTATATACCGCATGCACTAACGGTGATTTATGTTGCTGAAATATTCCAACATTGTATGGAATATCCTCCATACCGATCTCCAGGCTGCTGTTATAGAGCGCCTCCAAATTGGTAATTGTACGTGGCGATTCAGCTAGCAGTGAGCCTACAATGAACGCTCCGTAGAATTGCTGCAACAACAAGCTAAACAGGCAAACAAAAAAGATGAGTATACGTGTTGAGGTTGCAGCAAAGGCATTATGTGAGGGGCCTTGCATGAAAAAAGCCTCCAAAATAGATAGGATCGCATAATCGAAACGGCACTCGAAATGTGGATCTTTATTCAAAAGAAACCGATTTTCATGATGCAGATGCAGCTGCAGCAACAGTACGGTTAATATAATGACCGCAGCAACAGAGTACCATACCTCGTCTACGAATGGCGCAAAGAAAATGTTGCGTATATCGTTGCGACGTGGATGACGGAATAAGAAGAAAACGCTGTGAAAATTCGGTACAAAGATTAATTTCTTATTCTGTAAGCAAACCACTTACAATTCCGTGTGAAGAGCTGAAGTGTAATCCATTACATAAACACGATTGGACACGAAACGCATAGGGGTGAGCGTTAATTCTACTTCACCGGACAATAGCATAGCAATAATACCATCCCAGCTGCCATTAGGCGAGGGTTCGCCCCAAAGTTTTCCAACTTCGACTTGCAAGCTGCAAATATCAGCGTTAAAAAAATATACAGAAATAAAAGTTATTATACAAAATTTATTAAATTGACAAATTTTATTAAAATTTTACCTAAAGTTGAACATCGGTTCTAATATTCTCAGCATTTGATAGGTCTTTCTCTGCATTGTGTCGAGATTTTTATAACCCAACGAGTTCAAGTATTCACGTTCCTCGATATTTTCGGGTTTGTCACGTAGCTTATAAAAAAATAAATACAAATATAACAAAAAAAAAAAAATTCTAAAGAAAATAATTTTTAGAAGTATGCAGATTCATATTTCTGGACCATATTTAGGTCTCCGGTATCCCATTCATTTTTCAAGGCTCTAGCTTGCGAATTACTATGATTTTTTTGGTCGCTTAAAATTGGAAACCATACCCGTTGATTTGAACTTTAATCTGGTAAAGGTTCAGTAAAATTCATACACTTTTTGCCAAACAATTTGACGAAACAATTTGGTGAGAATTCAATTCAATGTCACCATAGGCACAGGATCTTTGAGAGGGAAAACCACCAAGTACGCCTCAAGGGGGCGTAATATGGCCTCTCCCCTGGCCCTGGTGTTGAACCAAATTCTGGAGATTTTACTGTTAACGATAAGTGAACTAATGAATAGTGCTCTAGGTGATATTTTTAAGTGGGCCAACCAGAATGAATTGGGGATTAACTCCTCTAAGATTGTGTCTTTTTGCAAAAAGAGGACAAAAGTATCCACTTTATCTCTGCAGAAATTAGGGGAATCTACTTTGAAACTCTCCTCCGAGGTAAAATATCTTGGAATTATACTAGACTCCAAGTTGAATTCGAAGAAGGATTTAGAGGAGAGAGCCAAGAAACAGCATACTACAGGTGCAAAAGGATTTTTGGAAAACAATGGGGACAATCACCGTACGTCACTGTCCTCAGACCAATTGCAACCCACGAATCCTTGGTATGGTGGAAGGCTCTAGACAACGGAAATAACAAGAAAATAAAAGGAAAATTGCAAAGCCTCGTATGCCTTG